CAGTGTCATTTAAGTGTTTTTGACAAAGATTCTTAGGGAACTACCATTTGATTTTTATGGGGGCTCATTTATTTTTACCACTATTCGGTCCTGCCTGTTTTTTTATTAGTTTATCCTGACTTTTTTTACATAAATTGTCATCCTGCCTTTTTTTTTTTTTTTTTTGCCAAGTTGCTCATCCTGCCTTTTTTGTTTTACTGAAAACTCCTGTTCTGCCTTCTTTTTCAAATTTCATCCTTAAAAAATAACTGAAGTTCCAACTCCCTCAGACAAAGTTGACCTTAGATGAATTTGGCTATTCCTTTTCTGTCCCTTTTTGGTCTTAAAGCTCCTCCCGTTTTCAGGTTAAGAAATAGCATGAGGTATCCCTTGATGACAATGATCGTCCTTGAAACGAAGACACATGCTGTACCCTGAATACTCCTGGCTAGGATGAAATTTGAAAAAATAGGCAGGACAGGAGTATTGAGTAAAAAAAAAAGGGCAGGATGACAATTTATTTTTTTTTAAAAAGTCAGTATAAACTAAAAAAATAAAAATGCAGGACCGAATAGAGTGAAAAATAAAAATGCAGGACAGAGATTAAACTAAAAAAAGATGCAGGACAACATTTTTCATCCTATCGGTGTGACTTTGAACATGCACATGACAATGAGGCGGGGTGATTTTTTTTTTTTTTTTATCTCAACTATTACTTTTGTATCTCGATCTGTAGATTTTTTAAAGGCAAAATAACATACAATAAAAGTCAGTACAGCACTTACATCTAACATAATGTATAATCGATAACAAAAAACACAAAATAGAATAAAAAATAAATATCTAAATTCAATATCTCAGACTGGTTCAAAAGTTCAAGCATTAAATATATTCTTATCACTTTCATTGCGTAAAATATTAAACAACACATAAAAAATAAAACTATCCATTTAAAGTTGACAGTTGTGTAAGATGTCCTTTGAAGTACTTTCATCGTTACTATAATACTTATGTGGCATATGGTTCAGATTTATTTAAATATCATAATTCGCTCTATGCTAAATTGCATGTACTGAAATAAAATTTTGAAAGATTGGTTTAATTCTTTTGAAGTACTAAAACGGTTCATCTTTGATACTAACCAGGGTTAGCAACTTATTACATGTATATGAAAATAAGGAGATGTGGTATGATTGCCAATGAGACAACTATCCACCAAAGTTCAAATGAAGTGGATGTAAGCAATTATAGGCAACCGTACGGCCTTCAACAATGAGAAAAACCCATATCGTATGTTCGGCTATAAAAGGCTCCGACATGAAAAATATGAAACAATTCAATTGAGAAAACTAACGGCCTAATGTATAACAAAACAATACACAATATAAACTAAAATCATGTCCGGTAATAAGTAAAAGCAACATTTTTTTAGTTGCTGAAATTCAAAATTATTGATTTATAACAGTATTTTTTCCGGAATAGATATAGATTTTAGCATGATAGATTATTATAATTTAGACATGTTAATAACAATTTATAGAAATTGAAGCCAAACACAATAACAAACGATCAATCATATTATGATGCAGTGATAAATATTTGAAAATAATGATTGAAATATTGTTAATATTTACTTTTCTACATCATTTAAAGGCTAATTTATCTTTTTACAGAAGTAACGTTCTGACATACAAGCACGATAGAAAACAGCTGTAAACAGTGAAGAATACTTACAGTTTTTTTACCAAAGTTATCGCAGTATATTTTTTCAAGACACCCCCATTAGCATGTCGCAAATTGTCATCTTATAATTTAGTTGTCCTAGTTTTCAAGTTTCATTCATGGTATGCAAGGTTTAAATGTCTTTCAAATTGCTAACCAATGGGATTATTGCAAAACTATTTTTGAAAATATTCTATGATTACCAGATTAGAAGATATCATTTACGAAAATGAATTAAAGAAATTTTAAACGAATAATTATATCTGGCCTGAAATGTACAACCGCATAGCAAGTGGCCGTCTTTTTTTTTTTATGTTTTAGTCAAATCAGTTTGTACGGATCAGTTCGACTGCAACCGTTACCGTTTTGTTATTTTTTGTATGATAGAATATTATCTATAAAATTGGAGTGCTTTCTTGGACAAAATATTTATGAAAACAAGACGATACAAAGTGGACATTGAAAACTCATAAGTCGAAGAGAAACTGACATCACATAGCCAAAAAAGAACGCCGATAAAAAGACAAAGTCCACAAAACAATACATAAAACATAAAGACAGAAACACGAACCCCACCAAAACTAGGGGCGATCTCAGGTGAACTGGAAGGGTTAGTAGTTCCTGCTCCACTAGGGCACCGTCATGTTGCGCATGGTAAGTCCGCATTAAAAAAATCCAATTAGTTTCTTATAAAATAAACATCTCAATAGTTTATATTTACATAGTTGGCAAAATTGGTCTAGTGTATGGTTTCGGAGAAGATGATGAAAATGTCTGACGACAGACAGACGAACAGACAAATGTGCAAAGTTATGACAATAACAAGACCCTGTGTACCAGGTGAGCTAAAAAGCATTATTAACCCTAAATTATAGTTTTAAACAATTGAGAGTAAAGCTGCGTATTGTCTTTCATATCTATATATGCTGGAAAAATCTGTAAAACTATACTACGTCTATATGAGATCTTTAATGTTATATTCTACTATAATATTGTTATCCATTTCACGATCATATTAAATCACTTGGAGTTAATCAAGCACATTAGTGACAGCCTGTTTGATAATCTTTCAATATTTTATTCGATACATTTGAGCGATTATTCAGCTTTTACTTAAAACCGAAAACATTGCATTCGACAAGCTAAAATAAAAAAAAACCTGCAAGTCTACTTTTAAAATATTGAAAATAAGTACGAGCGTTCGAATTTTATCATTGACGTCATTCCATATTGTTCAAAGTGATAGATTGTACATCGTGCATTAAAATTTTATGTTATAATGTCTGGCTTTATTGAAAAGTGTTTGACGATTGTAACGTTTAGGAAATCAAACAAAAAAATCCTAAAAACAAAATTCCTTTGTATTGCAAAACATAAAAGCAGTTAATCAGTTCATAAAGGTAGTTTGAAACTTCTAAATTTTAGATTTTAAGGCAGTTGTAAAAATGACATTAAAACTGCTTCATTGTTTATAAAATAAGCGTATGAGACCGACACAACACAGGTTAATAGAATACCTTTATCGCAAAATGCTTAAAATAAGTTTCAGAAGCACGATAAGTAAAACGTCTGTCAGCATCAACATTAAAACTTTCAAACCTAATCTATATAGGATCCTTTTTGCGGGAGAGACACAAGAGGTTCTGAACATGATTAGGATTTTGTAAACAGACGAGCAGTTTGGATTTCAAAAACACACCCATTCATGTATTGAAGTCTTGTGAAATTACCGACCGATAATTAGATTTCATACAAAAATCATAACCCATCAACCCATTCATATATTTCTCAGTTACCACCACCATATACAATTTTTGACAAATTCAATTTGATTTACAGATATCTATTAGAAAGATGAATATAACTAACCCAATGGCATTTGCAACCAATTTATATATCAAAAAAGGAACCCATTCCAGCGGCACATCTGTGTATACCTTCATATAGGAAGAGAACCCCCATCCCCCTCTTCCTCTCCTTCTCCGTGAATAGGCAAAACATTTATGCTTGTCTTTTTCTTGAAGGAAATAAATTGTTGTCTCTTCATGAGTTTTTTGTGTTAATGTTTACATTGGTTCTTGTCTATTCTAATGGTATTTCGAATTCTTATGTTGATATGGTTTACAACTGACTTCGGTTTTGAAACTTTTCAGGTCTTGACGTCTTATTGAGACGTTTCCTTTTTTTTTTATCTTTGTAAAAAAAAATCAGGTTAAGTCTCTCCATGGCAGACCATCAAAGTTTTGGCTAATGTTATGAATCCTTTTGTTTATAGCTCTCATGAGTACATGATCGTTGATTCTCCGGGTTTAGGCTCTAGGTCTTCATTGTAAAGGGAATTTTGAAACGCTATTCATGTGCAGAAAAGTTAAAAGCTTTGATTTCTTTGGTTGAAAAGTTAACAGTTGTATTACGTTGTGTCCTCACAGAAAGTTTATATTGCGATGGCAGATAACTTTTGTATAATTGTTTTGACTCTAAAATCTATTATAGTATCCACCTTTACAAAATTTTAATATTACACCTAAGAACTGTTTGTTTCTTTTCTTTTCTTTGTTGCCCTTGTCTTGTCTGTCGTTTTTCAATTAATGATTTTTTTTTTGTCAACTTGTTATTTTCTTCCATTTTGTTACATCCATCTGGTTGGGGTAAGTAATTTTAAAGTTCTAACTAAATATGTGAACTCCTCTTACACATCCTACAATTCGTTGCAAAGCAAAGAACATAGGGACAATCAAAAATCATAAGTCGAAGGTAAATCGGCAAAACTATGGCAAAAAAACGAAACACGGCAAATAGCTGTCTACTATGAACACTATCAGAAAACTAATGAATAAGCAACGCAACTCCAGTCAGATACCGGGAGTGATCTCAGATGCTCTTGAAGGGAAAGCAGATCTTGCTTCATAGCCTTCATATATGGCAATCGTCGTACTGCTGATGGCAAGTACAAATTTAGTGATAAGTTTAATTCGAAGATATCACAATCTAGGATTGGATTGTGGATATGACAATTGAAAGTATGAACAATTGTCACATCAACAAATGCACTTTGTTATAAAATAAGGAGATGATGTATAATTGCCTATAAGAGCTATCCACAAACTACGGGTTACATTGAGCAAAACGTGTTCAATAGTATGCCATAATGGCGTATTGTTGGTTATTTCTTTGTTTTTATTAATTTTCATATTGTTATATATTTGTTGATTTTTGTCTCCGTGTGTGCGTCTTGTTTGTTTTCTTGCTTTGGAAGTTTTTCAAATATTCTATATAAGAATATAATACACAAGTCAAGGTAAACATATAAATAATTTATTATTTGATAAAAAAGAAAAAAAATCATCAATTTCACCCGTTTTACATTAATCACAAGCAACACAAATCAACGTATATAATATCATAAGCTAACAAATATCATAATATTGTGTAACTTTTAAATGGAATACAACAACATAATATTTCTTTCGTAGTTTTGAAATATATCAAGTAAATCTGAATAAGAACACGGAATATTATTGATAGATAGTATAGTGTATGCAATATACATGCTTATATAACCTGCTATCGGGAACCCATATGCAATTATGAACACCGTTTTTTATAATCATGCATGAAATACTATATAATAAGTTCAATTAGCAATTTCATACATGTACGTAAGTTCGATTGTTGAAAAGCCGTCGGCGTTCACTATTACCTCTACATTCTCGATATCAAGTATTACTTCGTCAAATATAGGAGTATACCTGTGTTAAAATATTTTTTTCGACATAAAAAGATCCGAAAAGTGAAATGTAACATCAAAATTTATATGCATTGCGATCTATTCAAACTAGTTGACATAAAAAAAAATGTTAAAGCTATGCTTCGATTACAACATTTCGGTGCGTATCCTGAATTATGCACTGCACTCTACAAAACAATGACTTCTCCAGTTCTTATTAATCTCAGTTAGTTAGTAGGGATACTTCATATTTATTTTAGACATGTCGTGTGTATACAATATGGAAATATCCGATGCGATCTGATAAAATTATTAATTGCATGTAATTATTCTTATATTATCGTTACCTAATTAATAAAATATCCAATTATGATTAATTTCTTCCAAGAATACCGGAAACAGTTCATATATCAAGACTGTTTGTTCAGCCTCTGACAGCGTATCAAATGATACGATCAATATAGTAGAGTCAGATAAACAAAAACGTTTAATTATAGTCCCGGACTTTCCAATTTAGAGTTTAGTAGCAATAATCATAATTTGGTTCCTTTTAAAAGTACAAATTAATAAAATGCTGTTCATTCTTTAAATCAGCTGCTACAATTCTAAAAAAAATATTTAAAAATTTAATTATTCTCAAAATTCAAAGTTTTGAAATCTTCGAACGGTTGTAAAGCAAACAAACATATTACGTTACCAATCGTTAATTCTATTCCGATTTACAAAAAGCGGTATAAATTATACATTTACGATCAACTATTAAATTTGATTATAAAACACTCTGAGATCCAACATGAGAATGAGGCAATGATTTCTTTCTTTCACAAGTCAGCAAAAAATACTTTTTCTGTAATAATACCCTCTAAAACAATAGTGAGTGATCCTATGAAAATGAATAAACAATTCTTAAAAATGGCTTTTGTTTACATTGGAACCTCAACTGTATTACGTTTCTATTAAACGGTAACCCGAATAATTCAGTCCCTCCCCGTAATCGATCTCTTCTACTTGCGAGGAATTCGAATGAAGTTATCGTAGATCAGCGGAATTTAACGACTGAATTATTCGGATTTAACGGCAAATATCGTTATCGCCCTGCTATTGGAGTCGCCTTTTCAGAATCTAATGCATTCTGGGAAATATTTTTAAAAGCGTTCCCAAACCGTTGTGATTAGTTAAAAACATTCAAAGCAAAGAAAGTTCAACCAATGATACGAAGGAATTTTCAATTTAGGTTACAAACAAAAAAAATACTCATAGCCCTTTAGATTCTGAAACGACGAATTAACAGGCTAATTTTGTTTTTTTAAACAGCTCGTTATAAACACATTGAAAGGGGAATAATTATCACCAAATACAGTGTTTTCTTATTTAGGTTACTTATGATTAACTGTTGAATACTGTTTTGTTTTGTTTTTTACTAAAAAGCCATTTTTAAGACACGGTAAACTTTCTATAGCAATGACCTTAGTCGCATCATTTGATTGTTCACAAAATTTTAATCATCATCAAGATGGTACAAGTATGATCAAAACAGTGTTCAAAATCGTTTAGGTCAAATGGTTTTCCAATATCCTAAATATTTTATGTTAAAATAGAAACTTGTTAAGGGACTGATTGTCTATGTTAAACTAAGCATAATATCTTTAAAATATTACATTTTTCGTTTTCTAGCTTTCTATTTACCGCAAATGTCAGTTCTGAAATATGGATACTTCTCCTTACAATTGAAACATTCCCAAATGTACAATATATACTAGCAAATGGCGTTTTTAAAACTGAAAATTCCAATCCAAAGCGAATTAAAATATTTGAATAATTGAAAAAAAACTTGAGGTAAATTCAGTATCATCTTTTTTTTTTCATCGTTTTGGGCACAGAGTTGAATTATTTACAATTTACAGTACAGTTTGAATAAACCGTGTTATCAAATGGATTTGCTATAATAGAAAGTTTACTAAAAAACGATGAATTAATGATGGACGAACAATTGGTTGTAAAACTGATGATGTAAAAAAGTATAAAAATAATAATTGAATATCAAATTAGATATGTAGATTATAAATTGGTCAACAATTTGATTGTTATACATTATAGATACTAAACAAATACAAAAAACATTTGATATTAAATGTATGGAATAATTTCTGTATTCACTATCTGGAACTAGATCGTTATGGTATATAATTGTGTGATATTCTATTTTTAGAAAAAAAATCATTGTCATCAGAAGTTCAAATTATAGGTGAACAACAGAATGCTTAGTAATATCTTGTTATAATCCGTTTCAGAAATCGTTGAAGCCACAACCGATTCGAAAAAATAATGAGCTTATACATGAGGAAATAACTTCGGCTGTTAATTCGAAAATTTAAATTGCCTTTGTTTAATACAGAGCTGTAAATAATTAAAACCAGTAAATGGTCAATTTTTCAAGTAACTTCTCTATCCTTCAAATTTGATACATCTAATATCATAATAGTTTTGTATAACGTATTTTAACTTACTCCTTGAGTTTTGATTGGAATGCATGCATGGTCATTTGAAACAAATACGGATTTAATATCATATCATGTGTTTATCTTTTAAAGTGGTTTGTGCATTCAAAGCGTTATCTTGCTTATACAGCCCTAGCCGAAAAAATTTCATTTCATTTTGAATCGGGAGAATTTTTTATATTGTATTTCTGCACCCTTTAAATTTATAATAATGCAAACACAAAGTGTCATTTTAAAATATGAGCAATATGTATACAACGTAGCTTAATAAAAACAACCCCATAACATGAAAAAAAATGTTGTGGACACATTTCTTCCTGGTCGGAGGGTTTGTGACAAAAACATGCACTTGTGATGAACAATTTAAACGATCACAACACTGGGAAAGGCACACATAGGTTTGCATCAGGATTACTGTTTTGATTTATAATTGCTATTTTAATAAAGTATTATTACAGTGTAGGAAATATACGGCAAGGAATTTGACTGTGAAAAGGACTTGATCAACATAATGCTAGTGGCCTTTAACAAATGATTAATAATAAATATATAGGATTGATAAAATGATGTGTACTTGGTTAACGTCAAGTGGCAAATATTTTTAGACGACGGACTATTTGTAAAATGAATATGATTGACTAGAATTCCTTAAATAAATTAGTTTCTTATACAAATTACATGCGATTTTGTGTGTGCTCTTTCTCGCTTATAAGAGAAGTCAAAGTTGTGTTTGTAGCAGACAAATGTAACGGTTTCTCAAGAATTATATCCGATTCCGTACTCCCTTGTCTGATGATGCCGTCTCGTAACATGGTACATGTGCTCCCTCGCCTAGACTCATTAAATTCTTGTCGGCGTTGGAGTTTTAAAGCAAACTTAAGTTCTTGTCTGGCTGATTTGTTCCTGAACACATAAACAAGTGGATTTATTGCACAACTAGACATGGCTAGTAAAATAGACACAGTCTCGATTTCAGCTGGAATGTTTTCTGGATTGTTTAGCACTGATTCAAGTATGATAATGATAAAATATGGCAACCAACATATCACAAAAGTAAAAACAACGAGAAAACTGGTCAATGCAGTTTTCCATTCGTCACGTTTCCATAATAACGGAAGTGTTCTGGAACTAGAACTACGACGTCGAAGCAAAATAGGCATGTTGCATGACCGTGATATGCCACAATAGCGTCTGCGGTCGTCTTTCAAGGGCATCTGCGACATATCTTCAATCAGATTGGATGGTATAACGCTGTTGCGTCTTGTCCTCTCACTATTGTTTCTGGCTGCTCTAAATATTATAATATAACCCCATAAAATAACTATTAAAGGTAGTGCAAACGATACAGAAACAAGAAACAAAGTGTAAAATTTGTCCCATTTAGAAGGCGTTGCCCACAGCACTGTGCATGATGCTTTGTCAGACTGATACACATATTCGTTCCATCCAAACAGTGGTGGAACCGACAGAACGACAGCAACTATCCAAACAGAAATCGTCATTAACATTGCTCGTTTTCTAGTTATTTTCATAGTATAATGTAAAGGCGTTGCTACAGCGCAATACCGATCTATTGAAATCGCCACTAATGTCAACGTACTTGCTGCAAAAATAGTATTCATAATGAATCCTGTAGCTTTGCACCAAATATATCCGAACATCCAGACCTCTGCAATCATTGTCACAAACATGAAAGGCATAATAACAATGGTGTTAAGTGAATTACAGATTGTTAAATTCAATATAAATCGGTTTGAAATTGTCAACAATGCTGGTTTTTTGCAAAACACCAAAAATACTAAAATGTTTCCAATAACGCTTGCCAGAAATATGAAAATAAGAAACAAAGCAACGATTGCCATTTTAACCATGTTCAACGTTTCAGTCTCACTTTCATAACAAATCGAACCGCCATTTTCATTTATGGTTGTTACTGTACAATTACTTATATTTTCCATCTTCATTTTATTTAATTCCACAATCTATTCCTTCTTGATTCATACAATTCATATAATCAGTATGTAGACTTCTCATCATCTGTATCAACATTAAACCGTAGTGCATATGTTTCGCCTTCACTGTGGAGCTTCCTCATAAATGTTTCCTAATGATTTCCTGCAGTCTAGTACAGACACTGATGAACAATGCAGCATAATTCAACTAATCTAATTCAATAATATATTGTACGTCCCATACAGAGTTATGTCTCACACAAAGTATTAGTAATTATTAATACCCTGTCAGCTGGTTCCAGGAAATAATGGTATCCAATATTGACAATAATCCAACATCTAGTTCAGCCTATAACAGATAAAGAACAATTAGTAAATTCATGCTAATAATTACTAATTAGGAGATGTAGTTACATAAAAGTGGACTTATAATTAATTTAGTTACGCATTGTGGGTTAAAAGGAAATTACTTGTAACTACTGAAGCTTCAATGCAATTTTGTAATATAATTATATCTACTAAGCATCTTTAATTAATGAAGCCATGTATAAAAATTGCGATGTCACACAGTGCTGTTGATACATGTGTACTAAGTTGAACGTCTCTTTGAGTTATCGTTTTACGTTGCTGTATTATAGAATTGATTTTTTTTTCTCTCGAAAATCTACACGAAATGAAAACAAGGGACCATCACATTTTTTCATCTCACTAGAAAATTTCAGCCGAAGTTTTGTGTTTAAAGTTTTACTTTCAGTTTCAAAAAGGTGAACTATTTTTTATTTCAAAAATCTGTAAATATTAGAATTAAATGCTAATGGTAACTTGCTTTCATTTTGAATAATTTTTAAAAAAATAGCATTCAATTCATATAATTTCATACAATCGTGTACAAAGTCGTTCAGACAAAATGCAACAAAAATACTTGAGTCTTAAAACCTTATTCTAAATTAAAAAAATAATCTATTTCAACAAAGTTACCAAATGAGTAATGATATGGATTTTGTCACAATTATTGATTCATTAATAATAGTCAAGCCAACTACATGCATGAACTACAGAATGCTTTAATGGGCAATCTCACAAATGCATTTGTAAGTGCCTGTATCAAGTCAGGGAGACGTGTTTCTGTTAAGTTTCTATAGATTCGGGACGGTTTAAAGCTTTACATATTGTATAGACATCTGTCTATTGTTGAATACTGTATGTAGTCCTCCAGATATTTTTTTTTTTTTTTTTTTTTTTCGTTTGGTTGCTGTTTTATTGACGTTTACCCCACATCTCCTTTTTTCATAACCACAACTGATTTTCAGTTACATTGCATTGAATGACGCTAGTTTTTTGCATAAGTCCGCGTCAGCAATATTATATAACATTTAACATGTTTAATGTTTCGCCGAGGTTTTTTGATATCATAAATCATATATTTGTAAGGGTTAAAATTTCTTTCTACATTTATAGTTTGATGTAAGTATTTTGTTGCTGTTCATTCGTAACACAAATATAGTTCCAAACCTCATAAATTTCACCTTGCCGCTCCTTCATTCTTCGAGAAACGTATTCCCACGTTAAAGACAACTATTGAAGTTTCTTTAAGATAAATCGATTAAGAAATTATCACGTAGATTGTCTATAGTGAGATATACGTCCTGTACTGTTACCATTATTGGTAAAACTTAAAGGGATAGTAGCTACGATTTTGACAAAATTATGACCAAGTTTTAAAGCTGCTAAAATCAAAGATATGTACTTTAAATTAACAATAAGATCGGTGGAATGTTCATATAAAGTACAGAAGTGTTAATAATTGATAATTAATATCGTGTAGCGTGCATTTTCATCTCATTAATTATGCATCGGGTTTACTTCCCGAACTTTGCCGACACAGCGAGTGAGATGACCAAGATATAAATAAATATGAACATGTGCTTTTGTTTTCTTACGTATTTGACAATTTCTTTAGATTAAACGTACATATTTGAAACCATTTATCAAATTATGTAAACAAAAAAATATACCAAATGCCTGCATATTATTCGAACCCAAGGTTCTCCAACAATGGCGATATTATACACTTGTTTTATATTTGTATGACAAAACAATGCCGATAACGTATACACGTGTTTGTGAATTGAATTGGGGCCTTCATGCAGGGTACACCGAAAGAATAATATTAAATTGTAAGAAGTTGATTTTAATGTCTTCTAAGTTGTGAGATCACTGCTCTTAAATTTATAAAAAATATTCTGGACAATAATGATTTGAACACGTCGCGATTTATTTTCATGTGATCTGGATTCGAAAAGTTCAGAAATGTTTTTTACATTTCGCAAACCGTCGTAATGTCGACTGCTTATATAATGACTTTATCTGCGTGACGGGTGTTTGTAAATGATTCTAATGACCGATCTCATCGCCGTTATTTATTTTCAATTTACAATAACTTGTCTGCACCTCTTAACTGTTTCTTTTTCTCGCAGAAACTGTAAACACACGTTCCATTTCCGCGATAACATTCCTCTGTTCGACATTTTCCCTTCGAGGGACAACTTGCGATTGCGCATTGGGAACTGCGGAGTTAAGGTCAACATAGGTCATATGAATAAGGGTTGGCTTAACATCGAATTTTTGTCTATAGACAAGAATTAAATTTAGGTGTAAAACGTTAAAAAGCTTCTAAATGCTAATTGGAAAGTAAACAGTGATGGTTTTATTCATTCTAAATAAACCTTTTGTACAAAATCCGGCATATAGATTAGAAAAATAATTTTAATGAAAATCGTAGCTACTATCCGTTTTTAAGATCTAGGACAAGCTGACATAATTTGACAAAACTTATGCGAATTTCCTGAAAATTTGTTTTTACAATTTAGACAGAACTGCAAACACGAAAAAAGTGCAATATTTACTTTTTTTTCTATTTGCTTCTATTTTTGTATATATAATCAAACTGGAAAACAGTTTATGCATACATAGGTGCATACGGGAGGACCAAAAAAAAAGAAAACTAAATATACAAGAGCTTAAAAGTACCACAATCTTTAAACTGGGATTCCTTTCGTCAAAGAAGCAGCATTTCAATAATACTGCGTTACTGCAGTCAGTTGGAAAGTGTTATGTTAACTGCCAGAATCTAAGTCAACTTAATGATAAAATACAGGAAATAAATTATAAATTAGATTCCTTTCATAACATGCTATGTATATTTCCTGATCTTGAAAAAGCTTCTGTCCAAGTTTCATAACTTTCTTTGAAGGTCTAACAAAATTATTTATGTCTAAAAAATGTAATCCAAACTGTGTATACAATTCCACTATCAATCATTTTGTCGGTAAAATAATAATAATAAAAAGAAAATATATTTTCAAAATGTTGCTTCATACTTTATCTCTCCATCATAAAAGAAAATGCCAAAGATGTCGGAAGCTCGACAAAAAATTGAACATTAACCTATTCTTTAAAAAATTTATTTAAAAATTTTGTTTATAACTAAGTAAATGTGTAAACCAAATTACGAAAAAAATGCTTACATTGTTTGATGTTATTTTGATCCATTGTACACAACATACTCAGTCAAATAATTGTGTCACTTTCTATCGGATACATATAATGCAGTCATTCGTTTTTGTAAGATACTATATATATATATGTGTGTGTGTGTGCATCACCTTGTCTTTCTCATATTGGCCAATACAGCAACGAGATGATACATGTACTTGCTGAACAATTATATTCCTTTATTACCAGTTAATTACATCCAATAAATCAATTAACTTGATGGAGGTTAACAATAGAAACACTCATTACTTTGATTCAGATGCCAAGCATTTCCATTCGTCTGCCTAGCAGCATGTATATATTTATTTGACACTTGATTTCAGTGATTTGTAATACTTTCTCTTTACATGCAGAGACTTCTATAACAGATTTTACGTTTGTAAACGAGTGAAGAGAGGCGAAAAATAATTTGGAAGATTTTATGCTAAAAAATCATATTAATCGAGAAAAACATGATATAGTTATTTTTTGAGCGATCAAGTGGGGTAGGGGGGTTACACGCCCACTACGCAGAAAACTAAAGTACTCAAAGTACATTAAAAAACAAATTACATGATGTAAAGAGAGAGAGAGAGAGAGAAATAGACAGATAAAATTTTATACCGGTCCCTTGGCATCAGATATCAAGCTCTTTTCCTAGAAAAACGATATAAGAAAAAAGTTCCACCAACTGGTTGGTTTAAGATTGCATAACGTCAATAGTTCATGTATATTCAGGAAGAGACATCAATCGAAGAAGTAGGTTCTCAAAACAGGTAGACCTTTTTTTCATGCCAAATGTCAGCTGGTTTACTTTTCTGCTTTAGAACTTTAATCTGCTTGTCATAATGTTAACGTGCTTTATCAATTATCCCTTATCTTTCCTCTCTTACTAAATGCATAAAACAGCTCAAAACAATGGTCATAAAGATTTATTATTAAATTCATCAATTTACATTGAATATTATTTTTATTTAAATAGTTGTTTGAATTAAAGAATCATTGTTGACTTTGGACTAGACGTGCAAAACAATTTCATATAACAGTTATTAGTTTTAAAGTTTTGGCGCCTAAAAACCTGTTCCAGCCCACCATTTCCACGTTATTGTAGTCTTTACCAAGTCACGTAGCAGTCAGTGTCATTGGTTTTATAAATTTATGTTTTAGTAAACACAAAACCACTACTTTGGGATTTATTGGTCGATTTTTTTATACTGGACTTGAGAAGTTTTTGTCATCAATTTTTTATATCATACTGTAGCTTCTATTACAGCTTTAAATTTCCGAGAATATACTGTTTATTGCCTTCGGAAAGATATATCGTGGGTAGGAAAGGAAAAACATTAAACATTAACGAGTTAAAGTCTGATGATATAGCACATCTCCAAAGATATTTCCAGACTGATTAATTTGTGGAATTTAGAGCCATTCATCTATTCACTTGAAAGAACTGTTTATGTAGCTAATGTTCATTTTAAAATTTATAATTCATTGAAGATTTAAAAATAACGTTTGTTTCATTTTGTCATACACTGGAACATTATCGTACAACAGGATGGTTTTTTTACGGTTCCAATAATACGCATCTTAAGATTAAGAACGTGATCGATATCTAGCAAACAATTCGCTTAACCAAGTGGGGGGAATTCAATACACTTGCATTGGAGTGTGAGTTCTAACTTGTTCTTTGTTGAAAGTTAACTGTGACTTTGAGCTGATACAAGAAACACCAATGAAGGATTTGCTATTTTTCTTCTGATTTTACTGTGTTATGACTTAATACACCGTGCTTCTCCTTTTGCAGAGCAAATGTTC